GGGGGGGGGGGGGGGGGGGGGGGGGGGGGGGGGGGGGGGGGGGGGGGGGGGGGGGGGGGGACTCTTGTGGGGAATTATTCATGCGGAAGCTGCAATCTAACCCTGCGTTGTGTTTGGAGCTCGCTGTGTGCGCAGGACCGTCACAAACAGAAATAGCCTCATATGATGGACGCACGTACCTCACACCAGCGATCAGACGAAGCAGTGTTGCTGATATGCGGGAAGCTGGATGTGGGTGAGCACAAAAATGGTCGTGATGTGTGACCTTGAACGCATGGTGGGGCCACCCCTGTATATTTTCCTTGAGACGGACGGAATGAGCTGGCCGTGAAAACGAGGTCGTTGTCCCATGAACGCTTCTGCACGCAGGCCGGGGAGAAGCGGAAGAGAGCCCTCTTCCTGGGAGTGACCTTCGTGGAAGAACACGACGCCGAGTTCCTGGGCGAGCTAGCCAAGAGAGTGAGGCGATTCAAGACGTTGGAGAAGAAGCTGCGCAACAAAGTTACGGAGGGCAACATGAATCCGTTAAGGTGACGACGCCTCGGAGTGCCCTTGTGGCCTGGACGGAGGAGCACGTTGTGGCCCTGCCTTACGCTTGACCGGGGTGCCATGCTCCTTCCTTCACACGCGCAGACCTCTGTGCTTCATTCACACAGATGGCTCTTTGTTTTGGGATTTTTTCTGTGTTGTTTTGCTGAATGGGACGTCTTGTCCGCACGTCATCTGCGTGGCTAATTTTCGCGGCGCATACGTTGTGTGTGTCCATTTTTCTTTGTTCCTCTCGCACCAGGGACACGATTAGGGTGCTGGCGACGGAGACGCAAGGGTACAGGGTTAGCTGCGTCAGCAAGGTCTCGGTATCGAGAGGGCCCGGCAGGTTTGTGGAATGGAATGATCGATGGCAGCTCAATAACGGACGGGCGCTCTCTGTTTGTGGCGACCACGCCTAACCTCTAGACCACTTCCGCTGGTCCACGTTCGAAAACCGCCCTAATTTTCAGCGTGTTGCGCGTACGTTGGTTTTGTCAGCTTGGCTGCACCAGGGTCCCATTCGTGTGTCAAGTTTTTCTCTTTGTGGAGGGCCGGTGTTTGTGTATCAAGGTTTTTTGGCCTTGGGCATGTCAACCCTCGGTGTCATCTTATTCTTCATTGATTTCATCGGGTTGACTTATTGATCCTACCATGCCGCTCAAGATTCTGCCGACTGTCGCTCGTTTTGATTTACTTCTCGGGGTGAAAACTACCCGGCTCTCTCTCTCTCTCTCTCTGGCTTTGCCCACTTTCCCGTACATGACCCGCCAGCAGTTCGGCAAAGGGCCGCCCGGTGAGCCGGAGGCATCTCCTCGAGACCGACATGTCCAACACGACAGCATCCAGAGGACTCTTGCGCAGCGTGAAGGCATGGCGTTTTCGCCGGGTTTCATTTCCAGTTGGTCGTTTAGCGCCGGACAGGTCGTCGCGTGGTCCATGCGCCGATCCGGCTACTTTTCAATGCAGTTTTCGTTGGACTACATCAGCCGTCAGTCAGACGCGAGAGAAGAAGTATTAACGAGCTTCCGTTCACCGGTGTCTTTTGATGGATCCTTTTTTTTTTGTTGGGGGCATGGTGGGTTTCGAAATGAGATCCCACGCTCTTGAAAATATCTCTCGTGTTGGTTGCGATTCTCAGTTTGTCTTCATTTTGCATTCGTGACTGCGAAGAGAGTCAACTTTTGTTTCGACTCGTACCGTGCGGAACTTCCGAGCCAGCTCCAAAACTGTGGGTGATCAAGACATGGATTTTTTCTTTTTTGGGCGCAATACACCAATGGTACAGGGGAAGTGGGGCGACGTCAAGTTTGAGAAGGTGCTCCTGGACCACTTCTGGCTGCCGGACTCGGAGACATGGCTGAACAAGAACTACATGGTGAGTAGTAAGCGAGGATGCCTCTGATCAGAACACCTCAACTTTCAGCAGGTTCATTGTGAGATTGAGCAGTTTTCGGCCAGGAAAATCGCGGGGAGATGAGAAGTTGGAAAGTATGATGCAAACATTCCGACCAGAATCGGAGGCCAACCAGCGGAGGATCCTCGCTCGAGCAGGACGAAACGATGCTCCGGCCCCGGAAGAGATGACGCAGGGATGATGGAGGTCCGCCACGCGCTTGTATACGCCCTGCCCCGGGCGGGCAAAGAAAGAACTCTCGCAAGAGGGAGGGCCTTGAGTGCGGGATTTTAAATTCACACGCTGAAGCTTGGAAACACCGCTTCTCATGACTTTGGTGGATCACAGGCTAACGACGGGGGCCTGATCAGAAACCTGATCAGCATGACCAAGCCCGAGACGCGGTTGCTCAGCGACGACTTCGAGGTCATACTGCCGATCAACCGGGTAAGCTCCGTCCACCGTAGTGGTTGCTGTTGCTTTCCTTATGCTGGTCGCTGGTTGTTGCTTCTGCCGCGATGAGAACTTGTTCGCATTGCCTTAGGTAGCGCGGCTGTTACGGAGTTTCGTTCTGCGGGCTGTGCGCTTTTCCACCCAAAATGAGGGTATAGAAAAAATGCTTTCTTTACCTCCTACACATCGCCAAATCAATCCCGAATATTCCTCACATCGACGTGACATGTACCATGAGCGGTGAAACTGTGACAAGTAGCGCTACAGGCTACGCCGAAAAAACAAACTCGTCTGTGAGGTAAAGGCAAGTATACACACAGTTCCCAACGCCAGCGGCTGCCTTTCTTGGTTGTGCGATGTAGTACTTCGACTTTCGCCTTTTCCAACACGTTGCGTGGGGGTGGTTGGGCGGATGCCCTTGTGTTTCACCAAAACCTTCTTGAGCCGATTTCTGGCCGTTGGGGTGCTCGCGTGAGTTGTCGCGCGAGTGTTTGTTGGCAGGAAGCCATCTATTCTTTTTTGTGGAATCCTTTTCTTGATTCACAATATGCTCCACAGTTCTTGTTTGAGAGTTTGTCGAAGGTCTTCATTCGAAGCAAATCGGCATCACCTGGAGTATCACCCGTTGATGCCGTGGTTTGTGTCTCCCGCGTTACCGTACGCGATTAGTTGGTTCCCAACCGCTGTAGGTACGTCATTTGCGACGGCGATTCCCAGAAGAGTACAGGCACAAAAAGGACACAAATGTTCACTGAGAATTTCACAGAGCATGTTTAGAGAAGAGCCCCAGCACAACTCTTCCTCCCTCTTTGGGCACTCCCATGTTTTTTGCAGCTTCGTACCGCAAAAAGTGCGAGTGAATCCACCCGTCTCTGTTACGGTACCCGTCGGGGTAGTAACCGCTCCGGGTTGCGCGATAAAGTCCCTTCGCCGTTCACGTGTTAAATGAGCCAGGGTCTTTTCGTTCATCTGGCATACTCTCGACGAAGCACACGATACGCATCCTGCAACCTATTCGGCAGCTGCCGTGCCGGGGTGCCTTGGAACAGGTAGAAGAAAGCGATTTGATGGCGTTTGCCGCACATTGGCGGTGGAATCGCGGCCACGGTGTTACTTCAATATTTGACTGCTACATCAAAATCCGATTTCATCCGGCACACTCGCGTTTTTGCGGTCCTCGAGGCGTGGCGAGCGACAAGCAACTGGGTCAACCCCTGTGGCCGCCTATACTCTTGTGTGAACGTTGGACGGGCTCGCGCTGACGTGTTTTCTTAGGTCTCCGACCAATTTTGATTTTCGTGCGGACTTGAACTCGTAGGGATTCTTGGAGCTTTTGCTGCCGCATTTCTCGGAGCTGGACAAGTAAGTGGTTATTCATGTGATTCCTCTGCGTGTTTGTTTCCCGTTAGCTTGGCGCATGGATGTTTGTGGTTCTTGGCTGTTTCGCAGGTATGGCATATTCCTGCAGTTGTATTTGCTCGCGATCATCTACTGTAGCATCTTGGTTGGTTGCGGCGAGGTTTAGGAAGCGCGGCGGCAAGTGCCAATTGAGATTCAGGTTGGCATTATTTGACCCGCCCATGCCCTAAACTCGCTTACCGGATCAAATATTAGGCCCCAGTCAAGCAACCGCACGGTTCTAGGACTCCGGGTTCTGTACGCGCGAAAACGGGAACAACGTAACAATGCCTGCAGAAATTTGAGACGTTTGAGCATGCATGCCATGTTTGGGTTCGGTCTCAGTGTATCGTGTTGTCCCGGGCAGGCCGAGTTCAGGTGCTTCAACCAGCAGTTGGAGAGGATCCTGGGAGCTGAAAACAAGGACGCATCGCGTCCACTCAGCATGACAAATGTCATTCTTTTTTCTGATTTCAATTGTTTTGGTTTTCTTCCACCCATCAGGCACTTCACGGTGGCGTTCCTGGTGGGACAGGGGCTCAATGACCTGAAAAAGAGCCACCTCGCCCTCCAGGCCGGCGATCTCATCCCCGATGACATCATGATGGGGGTCTACGGGAAGAACAAGGAACGCCAGGTCAGCCATACAGTTCTCGCTAAGAGTGGGAAGATCGGAGCGCGTGCTTCACCGTGCGAGCTATCACTCTATTTATTGTAGAATGATTGCCCTTTCGGCTTGCGGGCGACCTCGTCCCAAAAAGCAGCGTAGGGCCTTTATGCAGATTATCTGAAACCCTTGCATGTCGACGACAACAAGCTTTCCGAAGGTTCATTGCACACAACCTTTGCATGAAACCTCGCTGTCACCGTCAACGTCTTTTGAAAGATGTCCTCGCCGGAGAAGATGCGCATTTCAAGCAGGCAGCAATTGGGAAAAGTGTAAGAAAATGTATTCCCGCAGCCCCGAAAACTGGGTTGCACTTTTTGGGGAAAGCCTTCGTCGATATTGTGACCAACATGTCTATATCTCTCCACAGTCCGATTGACTCCGAACCCACCCGGATGTTCCGGGGTGTTCCATCTCGGAAGGCATGCGCGACTATTAGTGGTCAAGGACATCAACGGAAGCGTTCTTGTCTATGCTTACCCTCGGCTGTGCCGTCGCCGTACCTGTCGACCGACGGCAGCTGTCTATCCTTGGAGTGAAGGAGCCCACTCAGGAAATGGTGAAGGTGCTTCGCAACCACGGGGTAGAGCCTTGGAATTTCTGCCATGCGCGGTTTCTCAGGCTGACGAAGTCTGCAGGTTTGTGCGGTGTTCGGAGGCGGGGTGTGGTGCGTATTCGCGATGGGTTCATCCCTTTCAAGCGACGCGCGTAGCGGAAGAACGGGAGCAACCGTTTGTGTTTTTGGACAAACTTTCGCGTGCATTTTGCGTTTGCGGGGCGAGAATTTTCGGGGGCATGGACTGCTGTTCACTAGCATTCTCCTTCCAAACACTTTGGTAAGATCAGCACCTTCGACTTTGACGCATACTGCCTGTTTCGTCTGTTCTGGGGAGTTTGGGTTAGATCCAGCTTCGTTCGTTCGCCCTGTCATCAACTGTTCCCACGACCACGAATCGCGCATGCGCAAATTTCGATCACCCGGTGTCGACGAGTGTGTTGGTTTCATGGCGTCGGAATTCACCCATACATGTACCTGCTTTGTACGGCATTCCGACCAAAGCGGACCTGCTGCCTCTGCGTTTGCCGGCTTTTGTTTTTGCACGACCCAGGACCCCGACGCCCGATTTTGTCGAGATGGAGGAAAATGCTTCGGCCAAGTTCGTGGACCATTTGGCCCACGGTCTCGCACAGATGGCGGTTCCTTCGTCAGCGATGCCGGTTGACTAGCGCCCGCCGCTACCGCACCTGCCGCAGCAACAGGCGAGGGGGCTTCGCAGGCGAATGGTCGTCCTCGAACTGCTACTTGGCGTCCTTGGTGGTGTTGCTCGCCAGCCGATCCCGTGCTTTGTTGTGATGGGAGGTGTGCTCTCTGTGTGTTTGTGTGTACCACCAGATACCTAGGAATGATCAATGTGTGGGAACGTGCTTCGCAGTGCCCAGAGGTATCCAGCATTCTGGCGCTTTACCACTGCGGTGTCTGGCAAGCTAGTCACACAAATATTTTACAGTCGTCTTACTCTAGAGCTTCACTGCAGCGAAGGTGTGTTTTTTCGTGTTCGCGAGGGTCATTTCAACCCGATATTGTGGTGGTTTATAGCTACAAAGAGTCCACCGATCCAGGCACAGAGATTATTTCAGCAGTCTGCGTCCTATCGTTAAAGTATTATGTGAGTTGCGGGACACTGGTCTCTTGCAGCACCTTTTGCCCGCTTTCCGTTCCCCGCTCTGGGACAGATTCGGAGGGACGTACGACGCGCAGAGCTAGTTACCCCCCCTCCGTCAATATCAAAGTTGCTTGTTGTACACGCCGTGTGTGTGAACCTTTGGAAATTTGAGACGTTGTTCTTCTTTCGTGTTGTGTCGACTGTGTATCTTATCACGATGTCATCGTAGATTCAAGGAAGGCGGGGTGTTTTTTTGCTGTGCACATGTACGTGGCTACTAGGAATATTTCGCGCAAGCGTGTGTGCAGAGAGTGGTGTCCAGACGAACAGATTGTCTTCACATTGGGCGTCGTATGCGTTTCCGAATTTACTGATATTTGTTTGGTGACCGTTCTGTCAAGTCTTGTTGGTAATGGGCGGACGGGCACTTCGTAACAAAATCGTAGAATGGTGCCGAGTTTTTCAGATTGTACACCTACGGACACGCGGGGTGCATTTACGGGTGAGATGCTATGCCAGGGGCGTATCTGCATCAACAATGGGTCTCGGATATTCTATGCGTCACGTAGAGGATGAAGCCTCTCCGCTTTCCAGGAGGGGCGTAGTTTCGATGTTATATCACAGTTTATTTGTTGCGTTTGCACAGCCGTCTGTTGTAAGACACAAAAGTTGCAAGGTGTTGTGCGGGCTGGGAGTGTGTAGAAATTGTTTGGTGAACTCGTGTTTTTTCAACACGCAAGCACCTAATTCAGAGACGGTTAACGATGCTGCGCAAGAGTGAGATACGTTCAACACTTGTTTCGACGTAGGTCACTCAATACCATCAAATCGCCGACATATTTCTCGAGCACGGATGGACTGCGGACGCATAATGCGGGGTTGTATGGAGAACAGCGATCGGTGCACATAAATAAGTAGGACAAAATACAACCTGAGCGGAGGACCCTGCTGATGGTTGAATCGCAAGAAACCCTGCTATGGAAAGGACTCTTCCAAAGCCACCTGCGGAGATGGGGAGTGGGAGGTTCTTCGAAAGTCCCTACCCTCTCCCTTCGGTGCCATTGTCTCTTCCCAGAACTTCCTTGCCAAATCTCAACAAATCAAGACTGACAGCTCCCTGGTCTCCTTAGGCTGCTCTTCTCTTTGTTCGAAAAGAGTTGCGACAACGACTGTGCTTAATTCCCTTCTTGTACAAGACAACATATTCGTGACTGCCTACCTACCATGTGGAAGTCGTGGCAAAATCTCTGATTCTTTGGAGTCTGCGTCCCCGCATGCTTGTGGCCGTGAGCACGAATTTGGCGCAACCTTCCAGAGGCACAAAATGAAAAGTGGAATTCCTCCTGCATGGACATACTGCCACCTCTCCACAACAAAGGCCCACTGCGGAACACACAACACAAATCGGACACCCGATGCAACAGAGGGATAAAAATAGGTTTGAAACTTGACTCAAAACAACGATAAAATAGGTTGAAACCGCACGCAAAATATTGACGACTTCCCGTGTTCAAAACCGCAATCGACCGATAGCTCTCCCAAGGAGGTTGACATACCGACACGCACAACCACAGGATACAAACCACGGCAGCCCCGCCGCCGGAGCGAACGACTTGTCTACAGGCTGCTCCCCGCCCCGCTCCGCAAAACACTGCTGTCCCAGGTTCCATGCACACGTCACTGCTTTCGGGCATGCACTGTCAAGCTCAGTGCCGACGAAAAAAATGTTACGTCACCAACAGAGGACACCGTACCGACTTATCCCCACCCCGTGATACACCCCAGATGTCTCACAGCTGAAGCAAACCATTGCATGGCAGTCACACGTGTGGGCACACCATATGGGTGCTGCCCAAACCAATAAGTTAATTTGGAAAGTGTTTGTTCGCCGTCTGCACCCTATGAGCTGGATTGCCCTGTAATGGTCCGGCCATTCCCAAGAAAACAGGACGGTCAGGTACGTATGTACGGCACGTTGTCACCAACTAAGTCACCGCACAATCGACCGAACCTGCCAATTTCGTAGATAGCGAAGAGGTCGTGGTGCGGAACCAAGGAAGACAAGTCGCATCGAGTCGCACGGCCGCACACAGCCATCAAGATCAAACCTGGCTCTTACTACGAAACGCCGCTTGCCGAACCCAGAGGGACCGGCGGGGTAGCCGCATCCCCTCGTGGGCGGACGAAGTAGAACGTTTCAAGCGGCTTCAGACCATTGAAGCCGGTCACGTCCGCTCCACCTCGGATGCCGACATCAGGGAAAAACAGCCAGTCTCGCCCAGGTTCCATGTCGTTAGGAAGCTCGGTCATCCGACAGACGCAATCTAACCCGTCGCAAGTAGGGCCCCACACCGTACAAGGAAGCTCGTTTCTGCAAGCCGTCCTGCGATGTGCCAGGGCATCTGATGTGGAAGGTCCGTGGTCGGTTTGGCATTGGACTCGGGTATCACTGGCAGCATTGGACGAGGTGGGCGGCATCGCCGAATTGTCATGGTCAATGAGAACAGCGGGGCGGACGCGTAGCGCCGATGGTCGCATCTGAGTTCCGCGGAGAAGAGCTCCACTAAGGGAACCGTAGCAGCCATCATCAACATAATACATAACGCCGCCATTGTCGTCACTGCCTTTGCCACCGCAGGTGTTGCCAGCGTCGACTACACTCTGCTCGCGCGCACGAGCTTTTCCATTGGCACTGCCGGCCAAACTGCTGCTGCTACTACCGTGGTCTGTGTCCGTTGCTGCCGGCGATCGGGCAACCGCAGGATCGTCCTCATCGACCGCAGCGGGCGGCACAGTCTTCCGCCCGATGATGGAAGCAACCGTCGACCACACTCCACTCGCTACCAGGTGTTCTGTGGCATCAGCAGATACTACGATCGGGCCACAAGCGCGGGCGACCGAGGGCGAGGCACTCGCACTCCCGTCTCCGTGGGTACCACCCAACGTCGCGGTCACCGCTGCCGCGATGGGAAGGTGCCGAGACAACGCGGCCTTCAATGCGGCTAAGGGCTCACCGCGTGCACCCCCTTCTCCTAGACCGGTCACATGCAACCGGCGGAAGCTAAACGGCGGGGGAAGCATGGCAGAAAGGTTTGGAGTCGTCATCTTTGCTGGCCCTGCTATGCTATCGCTGCTGTTCAAGACTCTCTCGGATTCTTCGTCTTGTTGATTTGCAGCTGTGTCGGCAACGCCGTCTACTTTGGAGACCGGCGCCGTTGCACAAGCAGCAGCAGCAGCAGCCCCGGCCGCGATGCGTGCCATCTCCACAGCGAAAGCTACTGCGGCATCAATGCTCTCGGCTAGCCGACCGGACGAAACAACTACCCCCGGCACCGAGCTGGCAGAGGTGTAGGAGTTGTCTGGAGACTGTTGCCCTGACGATGGATCGGAGCTCCCCCTAAGCGCATCGTTCCAGCAGGCCGATCCCACATCGATCGAGAAGCCAACGATTGGCAAGGTCCTCAAACTGCCGCACGACTTGGACGCGGCCGTACCTGCACCAAGTTCTGGGCCGACGGTGGCTGCTGCTGCTGCTGCTGCTGCTGCCGCCGCCGCCGCCGCTGCGGCTTGTGCAAGCTCGACGACGTCGTCTGAGCTCGCGCCATATATGGCTTCAAGAGCCTCCGAAAAATCCGCGTCCGCGGGTGTCGCCGACGGATTTTCTGGGAACTGCCTCCTCGGTTGCAATGGCATGGCTAACCTGACCATCACGCTGGCCGGGCTCAATCCTGTTGCCCTCGAATGCCTTGGGGTTGTCTGCGTGGGGTCAAGGGAGGTACCGCTCCTCGACCAGACGTAAGGGGTGGCACCTAGCTTGCGCCTCGTGGCATATATTCTGTGCCACTCATCGACGGAGTCCACCTGTTCGCGACGAGACAACAACGAGACCATGTGTGTTCCATGAGGGACTTCCGGCGACACATCCCGCGTGGTCTCCGAGTAGGACCCCGCGGTTCCTGGCTGAGCAGCCCTGCAAATTTCCATGATCGTCGCCGGTAAGCAGCCAACACACAATCCTGTTATGACACACGCAAAAAAAACGTTTTTAGAGGGGGAAACCTCTGAGAACCCAAACGTTAGGCGAGTGATTTCGCGTTTAGATGCAGGGCTTCAGGTATGATCGGATGCTCACCTCGTACATTTGAACCCCGGCGGCTACCGACGCTCGAAGCAGGACGGGCGAGCGACAGACATGCCGATCCAGCAGTCGAGGGGGAGGGGCAGGGGTGGGGCTGGCCCTACGAGCGGCGCCGACGCCGGTCTTGATATCGTGCGCCGATGAGCACGTCAGGCGACCTCCCAGGGCGTGAACAAGCCCTAGCAACACACTATCGCGGTTGCTGCTGACTCGAAAGCATGGTTCGACCTAAACATCGAGGAGTAAGTCGAGCGAACCGTGTGTGCGTTGTGTGGTGAAAGATGCCATGGCTACCTCAGAGGTAACGACATTCTGCCAGAATATGTATCCAAGTTCGCGTCGTGCACAATTGCTTGGAGCAATTTCGCACTTCTATCGCTGCATTTCTCATAGCCACAGCCCATTTCATCCACACGTCCATATGCTTTCTGGTCAAGCAACAGGGGGTCGACGGTACTTGTATTATGTTTTAGGGTTGCGGCTGGGACAATGTCGTTGATGCTATAGTCTCTACCTGGCAGCGGAGAGAACAAACGTGACGTCGATACTGTGAAATGACGTCTCGGTGTTCTTCCGTGCATCTCCTCTGCTGACTCCCCAGTCGCCCGAACACACCTGCGGAAGGCAGTAACTCCACTCTACAGAGTTGCGGACAACCGCGTGCAGATCGACCAGATGAAAGCCACGCACGGGCGGCATGGCCGACGGGGGCTGTGTCAAAGGCGGCGACGCCCTTCTTCCGGTATTGTCGCTTGAGCGGTCGGTGCTCCCGTTGACCATGGCCGAATGGTAGGCATTAGTAGAAGATTGGTGAAGCTCTTCCTTCCCCGCCGAAGACTCTTCGACAGCCGTCTCCTCTACGTCCTCTCCTCGATGTTGTGAAACTGTGTTGTTCTTGCCGAGCTGCCATTGCTGTTGCTGCCGTTCCACCGCCTGCGGAGGATGGGTTTTGAGGCTGGCGGTTGGTGTCCTGCCCTCAGCACGCCAACCTCTCCGTGGGACGCCTTCGCTCGAGTCCACCAGGACCATGGGCAGTGAGCATGCCTGGGAGACAGGAATGCTTGTGCAAGTCCCCTCGACCACAGCAAGGGCCGTGAGTCTCGCGCTCGAGTCTCGAGGGGCAGCAACAACGCGGCAGCCGTTCGTGGTACCGGTTGTGCCTTGCCTGACAAGTACCGTCTTGACATTCGCACGTCAGCAGGAAAAGGCGGGTGCGAGATGGTGTTGGTGAGCGTGTTGTCATACAAACAACGTTCAGTGACCGGCCGGAGCTTAATCTCAAACCCGGCCCATCTCTAGGCTCCATCCACTTCCCGCGCGGTCTACGGTTCTGACAGATTTTCACGACAGGCAAACAACTTGGCTCCACTGACCGTCGGTACCCCAGCCAAGCGGCGGAGCTTGAGCTGCAGTAGTTGCTCCCGCCACGCAGACTGGGCCGCGTCCGACACGGTGTCCTTCAGGTTTCCCCACGACCGCGGTGGACTGCTGCCGCTACCATTCTCGAGAGAAAACGATTCTGCCCGCTGCGCAGGAGTGACGGGGTTGACAGCAAAAATAAACAATCTGAGCATGCTGATTGGCCATGTAGAGCATCAACATCCGCGACTCGGTTTGTCGGAGAGATCGTGGCGCTTGCAATTGCGAACGGGTTGATCAACCTAGTTGATGAGAGTGTACGGATTGCACGAGACGATCCGAACGTCTCCACTGGTGTCACCCTGTCCTGTTCCATCACACANCACAACATGATCTACTCGGCCACCATAATGATTACCGCCAAAAAAAAAAACGGAGGTAAAAAAAAAGACGGTCACCAGGTTGCCGAGTTTACGAAGTGAATTGGCTTGTTTTACAACGTCGTTGCCAAGCGACGAAAACCCAACCCCGATGGCAAACACCGGGGGGGGGGCTGGAGACGACACTGTGAGGGAAAACAACATTTTTTCTCCGAATCACACATAAATGATATTCCCGATCTTCCTCCGGCTGTCGGGACCATTGCAATCAATCGCAATTTTGAACGAAGAGATCTGGTGATGAACGACCAGAGATATTCCGGCGGCGCAAATGTATAAATGGGACGTGAAGATCCACACCATACACAATGAGTATCACTACGGTGTTGATCGAAGATCAATGATTGAGAGAGAATAAGGGACGATTGAGGAGCTCGAGTCACGTCCATAATGGTGCAGTATCGCCGCCGTGCTGCAGTATTGTGCGATGGGTATTGCTCTATCATGATGAGAGGGCGCACGGAACACAGAGGTTGAGCGTATTAAAATCACCGACAAAGGGGATAGGGCGAATGTCATTTTTGCGCTAGCAGTCTAGCACTACCCGGATGGAGAGTTTTCCAACGCGGATGAATGTCATGTTTTACCACCTAGTTCTGAGACAACCGTCAACGAGAGGATTGCCGACTAGTGCAGAACGCGACACTAGCTGTAGATCTTGCTACGCGAAGAATATTGGGAGGTATCGATTCGTCCACAACATCTGCAGCTATGTTCTATCAACACCCAAAAACTCGTTCACTAAACATGCCGGTTATTATGAAATTAAAAGGCTGAGTTCCGGCACAAAAAGTTGCGATGTACTACCGTCAGCGGCATTAACGGAAAAAAGTGCCGCATTCTTCCTTGTTGTTTGAATCATCACATATGCCATCCCCGATGCGGGCTACCCAGCCGCAGTGCTCATAATGCTCCGCGGTATTGTCATCGTCGTCCATGCACTCCACTTCAGGGTCGATGCAGGCAAAACTTCCGGATTCGCAGTAGTGCTCGTAGCCATCATCGTGCGACTCACAGGTGCACTCGCAGCAATCACCACCATCGTACGCTGAGCGGGCAGAAAGTACAGGAAAACGAGAAAAAAAATAGAATATACACATACGGGGAGTTTGGTAGTGTTTTCTCGACAGGTGGTTGACTACCGGCCGACATTGTAAACCCCCTCTGAAAAGAATTCTACCTACACAACTCCACGGGAGTCCCGTCTCGGGCGGGTGGGTGTCCTTTCTTTCATGTTCTTAGATTTTCTCAAGAACATTTCGAAGTGCAGACAAGACTTGTGGTGCAGTAGTAGTGCAACAACAGAAAAACGATGTGGCATTGACGACTGATCCTTCACCGTTGACGACTGATCCACATTCGCCTTGCCTGCGCATTTTTTCCGCCTCGCTAGCTGTCGCGTCATAAATATTGATACAATACCCCGGCTGTTTTTGAAAAGTACGCAGGTTCACAAAAATGATGTTGCCCAAGGGTTGACGTCCTTTACACACTCGCATCGATTGACTGCGCACAGGATACAGCGATCTCTCCACAACGCTGGATTTTTTCGTCGCACTTCCACGGAGGTGGTGATATTCCGACTTCCATGGAAGTAGTGAATAATCACTTCCTCCATGCAATTCGAAATATCACTTCCATGGATGCTTTCATGAAAGTTGGGGTTGCATCAGATAGAAGCCTGAAAGTGTGGACTTCCAATACACGACTTCCTTGTCATGGAGGTGACAACCCTTGATGAGCGCCATTTGTTCGTGGAAGGCACTTTCAATAAACACGGAAATTGAGCAACTTCCATTGAGGAAGTTGGACGAACTTCCATGGAAGCAATGGTTTACTTTCACGGAACGCCCCACTTTGAAGCATCGTATTGCTTCGATAGGAGTCGCGTCCATTCATGGGATGGCGTGGGAGACTCCCTTCAATATGTACGGGACCCCATCAAGACCACCCACCAACACGAAGAATACGCACATTCTGGAAAGTTGGTGCTGTCGTTGCCGCCTAGTACTAGTGCGGACAAATTCCCAAATCCTAGCGTACAGGAACGCACACCCATTCACAAGTTCAAAAGGAGCCTGGATAAGGTACCGGTCTCTCTCTTGTAGGCGAAGCACCATGCAAAATAGTAACTGACACGCGGCGCGTCACAGATCATACCGCATTCTGAGGTGTTGTTGCTGTCCTCGCAGTACCCATTCCCGATATAGCCGATGGAGCACAGGTCCATCATCTCGGCGGTGACGATGTCGTCGTCCACGCACGGTGCATCCGATTCAATGCAGGCGAAGTCGCCATACATGCCGGTCTGGCAGCCCTCACCGGACTCGTACCATGGGTACCTAGAAGGGTCACACGTGAACCGCAGCAATCTCCACCATCATAAGCTGGGAAGCGGGGGGGGGGTGTACTCATAGTCGTGCATGCCGTAGTCGTTAGACCATTGACCTCGCATCCCTACAAAGCCGGGACGGAGCACGCCGGGTTCTCACCGGACCAGGCTCTCACATCACCAAGCGCGAAGCGCCGTGAGGTATTCGGCGAGTCGCATGAAGCAGCGCTATGACTTAATTTATCTTCTGGTGCTTCACTTCCAGAGACAGTTGTTAGCACTGTGAAACTGCCTCGAAGGTGCTTGACCATTTTCACACAACGTGGTGCGATCATCCCCCTTGCGTGGAGTGAGGGTTCTCGACCCCGCACAACATGATCTACTCGACCACCATTATGGTTGCCGCCAAAAAA